CTCTTGCCGTCGCTGTGCTGCCTCCTCCTCTGTCAGGGGCTCCAAAGGGGAAATTCATCGCGCAACTCTTCGATGTTAGTCGCCCCCTGGTGAGGTTGGACCATCTGAGCGTGTCATCGGATGTGGACTTGATTTGGAGTTCGAAGGTGACCGCCGAGACCTTCTACCTGAGAGGTTCACTCTACTCGACTGACAAGGCGATGATTGAGAAGGTCGGGCCAGTGGAGGGCCTGGACTCTGCGGAGGTCTTCCTACAGAGGTCAATTACCATTATGGACCATTGGAAGCACAAGTGGTCGAAGCTGCAGGGGGAGCTCGAAAGTGATAGAAGCCGAGTTCATCCTCTGGAGGAGGAGAACCAAGCCCTGAGAGCTGCTCTAGGCGAGGCTAAGAGAAAGAATGAGGCCGAGCTGCAAGCCACGAGGAGGGATCTTGCGAGGACTCATAAGTCTTTGGAGATTGCTCTGAAGGCTAATGAAGTTTATGCTGCCCAAGTAGGCGATCTGCAGGAGGTCGCCAATTCTACTCGAGGTCGGGCGCGCTCTCTAGAGGACGAGGTCTCGGGGTTGAGGGCTGAGTTGGCGGAGGAGACTAAGAGACGTCTCTATGACGAGGTGCTTCTGGCTGGCAAGGAGGAGGAGGACAGTGCCTTGAAGGCCGACCTTGACGCGATGATAGCGGCGCGAGCAAGCTTGGAGGGGAAGCTCATCGAGACCGAGAAGGCTGTCTCGAGGGAGCACAAGAGGGGGTTCATCAAGGCAACTCGTCAGGCTAGGCTGTTAGCGCCAGGGGTTGACCTTTCTTCCATGAACGTAGAGAAGGAGGTGCGAGGTGGCCAACTGGTGAACGAGGACAACTTGCCTGGTAGCTCAAGCGAGAACACTGCTGTTTAGGCCCTCTATAATAACTTAGCTATTTTGGTTTTCTTTCTATATTGAACTCGTTTTGTTGATGAACGTATTGTGTATATAATTTATTTCTCTTATCTCATTCTTTTGCTAATTCTCGTTTTGATAAGGTTTAAATTTGACCTTCGACTTTAGTCTAGGAATTGAATCCAGAATTTTGGGCTTAGTCGTGGCCTGCTTTTGAGGTTTGAAACTTGTCTAGTATTTTGCGCTTTGAGGCTCAAACTTGGCCTGTGAAGGTTCAATCTTGACCTTTGTTTTTGATTTTGATAGTGTCAAGGTTCGAACTCGACCTTGGCTTGGAATGACATGATTTGCGCCGAGGTTCAGATTCGACCTTGGCTTAACATGATACAAGTCGCACCGAGGTTCGAGGTCGACCTTGGCTTAGCGTAATATAATTCATACCAAGGTTCGAATTCGACCTTGGCTCAACGTGCTAAGGTTCAGATTCAACCTTGGCTTAACGTGCTAAGGTTCGGATTCGACCTTGGCTTAACATGATACAATTCGTACTGAGGTTCGAACTCGACCTTGGCTTAGCGTGATATAATTTGTACCACGGTTCAAATTCGACCTTGGTTTAACATGATATAATTCGCACCGAGGTTCGAACTCGACCTTAGATTAACGTGATATAATTCTTACCAAGGTTCGAATTTGACCTTGGCTTAAGATGATATGATTCTTGCAAATGCGGTGTAAACTTGAAGAGATATGAGTGAAATGAGTCTTTTTATTAATGTCGAGGGTATGCCTCGTTAAAACCCCTCTCAACCAAAACCCATTTTTCTATTTTTTGGGACAAAAGACTGAGTCGAGAAAAGAGTGCATAACCCACTTGTACAGTTTAACTAAATTAAAACTTGAGATGCGTGGCATTCCAAGTTCGTGGGGTGGTTTTTCCGTTGAGCTCTTCTAGTCGGTATGCCCCATTTTTAAGGTCTTCTATGACTCGAAATAGGCCATCCCAGTTAGGCACGAGTTTCCCTTCTGATGGGTCTCTTCGTGCTTCACCTAGTAGTCGCTACACCAGGTCGCCGACTTGGAAAGAGCGAGGTCAGACTCACATGTTGTATCTTCTGAAGGCTCGAAGTTTGCAGGCTTCTTCATGGATCCAAGCTTCCTCTCTAAGCTCATCAATCAGGTCGAGGTTGACTGCCATTTCTTGAGCATTTTTCTCACTGTTGAAGGTATGATGTTCATGCGATGTCTCTCTAACCTGTTTAGGAACCACTTATTGACTCTGTTAATGCTTAATAAAAATAATAATAACTATATTTCAGTTACAAAAGCACAGTTTTAACATAATGTCTCAACTCAAGAATGAGACACATGAATGCATTTTCATGCCAAACCCATTTTACATTAACTTTATGAGCGATTAAATTCTGGAAGATTTAACAAGTAGGAACCACACTAATATGAATTGATAAAACTATCTAAAGATATGATCAATGAAAGAATCCCTTTCCTTGCGAGAAACTCCACCTTCACCCATGGACCTATGAATGGCATTTTTAAGACTCATTGCTCTCTCTCGCATCTCATCACCTTCCTTTGTTCCCATCAACCTTCTCACAGCATTCTCAACAATCGAAGCACTAACCAACGCATTCCTTTGTGCCCAATCCTTCACAACCAAACCAACCTTGAGCACCTCGGTCACTAAAACTGTGTTTCTTGGTTGGTCAGAGTGCATAGGCCATGCTGCTATTGGCACCCCCATAGTTAAGCTCTCTAAGCAAGAGTTCCATCCACAATGACTCATAAACCCCCCAATTGAAGAGTGGCTAAGAATTTCCAATTGGGGTGCCCAATCCCTCACAACTAGCCCCATGCCTTCAACTCTCTCTTCAAACCCTTTTGGAAGTTCATGCCTTTTTGTTTCACTTCCATCAAAGATGTCTCCTTTATCAGCATCTCTCACCACCCAGATGAACTTTTTCTTGCTTTGTTCCAATCCAGTTGCAATCTCGTGGATTTGCTCCACTGTGAAAGTTGTTGTGGTCCCAAAAGACACATATACGACTGAATTTGGCTCTTGTTTATCAAGCCACTCAATGCATGGGTGCGTTCCTTTTGAACCTTTCTTCTCAATGGCTAAAGGGTTGAATGGGCCCAAAGCCCAAACCTTCTTGCCACTACTAGCACTAATCCCCTCCATCAACTTAATGTAATCACCCTCAATCACCCTACTTGTGTTATAGATGTTGCCATCATTGAATTTGAGGAACTCACTTTGTGCAATAAGGAAGTCCAAGAATTGGGTTGTGAAGCATCCTTCCAAAGAAGGAATCACTTGTGGGACTTTCACATGAAACCCTTCAAGTGAGAACATTCCCATTCTCTCCCAAAAGAAAGTAAAGGTGGTGAAGGCACATACACTGTGGAAAGTGTAGTTCTCAACATTCTCCATGTGTGTGGCATCTTGTGCAACCGATGCCATGAGGGAGTCATGGATGACTACGACCCTCTTGGCTTGAGATGAGAGGGATTGGAGAAGCTTCTCCACAGGCTTTCTGAGGTGGGAACAAGCCTCAAAGGAAGGAATCATGTGAGATGGGAAATCGGTGCTTGCATTGTTGTTAGGGTTTGGAGGAGGGGACACAAAGGGAGGAACCTCAAAGTGATGGAAATTAATGTTTGATGAAGCAATGGAGTTGTTGGAGTCACGAAGTGTGGCTTGGCGAATGTGAGTTTGTGTGCCAACATAGTGGACTGGTATGTTGTGTGAGGAGAGGAGGTATGCGAGGTGCAGAAGCTGGTTCAGATGGCCTTGTGCGGGGAAAGGGATCATAACCACCACCACTTTGGTTTCATCGTAAAGGCTATTACTCACTTTGGTTTCTCCATTTGAAGCCATCTGGGGAACTCGGGTACCTTAGTTAGAAGCTGTTATATTGAACTTTAGCACTAGATTTAGCAAGTATATATCTGTAATGTTGTATGGAGTATTTATATTAAGAATTTGTTGGATACAAAAGAATGTTTCCCTTGTGTATCACTGGTCACTGACATTTATATACAGCTGGTATTAAATCATCATAAATTTACTTTTATTTTTTACTTGAAATATCTTGTATCAATAGAGACTTAGTATATGCTTAATTATAAGTTTAAGTTCATTCTTTTATTTTAATAATAATCTTGAAATTTGTTTGTGACTCAACAATTTTGTAACTATCGAAAACAGTTTCGTAACTATCGAAATTAATGCTAATATATGTGCGAATTATTCGGAACCTCCCATGTTTTCTGTCGGGCTTTTCATAATAATTTTAATCCTCCCTCTAATATTTAATGGTTTTTATGGAATGCTGAGCTGGGTCCAACGCAATGAACTTTCTCAACATTGAATAAAATATATTCACAAGCGCAATCCACATGGTAGAATTTTCAACTTGTTCAAGATTCGAAAAGTATATCCACAAGTTTAATCCACTTGGTGGAATTTTTAATTGATTACAGTCTTCAATATTGTTTGGTTTCTGCATTAATTCAACATTTTTTGATTGTGATCCTAATTAATTAGTTATCTAATGATATTAATTGTTTAATATATCCGTTATTTAGCATATTTTAAACCAATAATTTTTGTTTTTAGTATCATCGCAGCCCCCCTGTGTGGCCTAAAAGTTAATTTCTAAATCGGATTTAGTGATGCCATGACAAACACACATCAGGGGTTCTCTTTTTCCAAAACAGAAAACCTCTCCCTCGAATCTATTGTAGGATAGCATGTTTGGTCATGGATTGAACGTGTTTCTTCATGTAAAAATAAAATCTCCTAGTTCTGTCTTTTCCATCTAAGAGCATGGTTGGTCGAGTATCCTTCACGTCTAAAGTGAAGTTACTTGAAGTAGCTAGCTTCTACATCAACGATGTGATATTGTTGTTGAACTTGGATCTCGAATGGGAAATCAAACATATGCTAAGTGCGTGTCTAGTAACACGTTTTGGATGTGAAAAATCAAACTAATAATAAAGCTATAATATGTAAATTCTACGCCTTTTTGTACATTTGATGCGAAAATGATCACATAAGCAAATTTAAACGTGGATGCTAACATGCTCTAAGACCCACTCAACGTATTTATTGAATGGGAATCGTATTTCTAAAACATGCAAGTAGAGGCTGGGGAGCACTTCTTATCGATCGATTATTTAATTTTTAAGCAACGATTGCTAATGTGTTTTATTGTTAGAAAGTAATTTTAAGTGAATGTAAGAGTTGCTTAAGCAACTATAGTCGTTTATTGGATATGCATTTTAAGTGAAAGAGTTATATTCAACGTAAAATTTATGAGGATCTATCAACTAAAAATAAGAACAAATACTTACATGAAGCAAACATCTTGTTAGTTATCTAATTGCTGAATAGCAGACCATAGATCAATGATTTGACATTCATCTCACGACACACATCCAAACATGCCTTTGCATATATTTCACAAGCTTCATTTGTCCTTGATGATGGTTTCCCATCACTAGTTTCATTCCAACAATTTATCAAACTTTAAGAATGCAAATTCGAAAAATCACGATAAAAGAATGTTGAAATTTATGAGAAAGTAATCAAGATTCAACTCTTGTTTTTATGCTATATAATACAAGCCTATTGTTCATGACATATATATACGTGCTCATTTGAGAAGAAGAATATTGATTGCATTGTACATTAAGGTATATAAGTCTAGGAGGGACTTTGCGTAATTATAATAATTAAATAGAAAATTATAGTTTAGATCATGTTTGGAGTGATATTTTTGCATCATTGATAAGGGGGGATTTGAGAATAAGAATGCAAGTGTTCTTTAAGAGGCTCTAGAAATCATTATTAATTGTATCAAAAAGTCATATATATTTTTTATTTTAATTTATTATGTTTAAGGATATTTAAGTAATTTAAGATATATAATATTAAAAATAAAATAAACAAAAACGAAAAGTCTCTCTGCTCTCTCATCCCTAATTTCACATATTGATTAAATTCTCATTTGTTAATAGGTAAATATATTAATTTTTATAATAATTGTTTTGAAAGTCATTTTAAATTATTTCTAATTGATTGAGGGTATGTGGAAACTACAGACATCGTTTTTTTTTTAATTATTTCCTTATATATAATTCCTATTACAACTTATTTGTTGTTTTGTGTTGGATTCATGTGTTTTTTGCACGATGATTGAGAGGAGTCTAAAGAAACTATTAGTGTTGAATGAATTGAAAAGTGCTTAAACATTATTTTTAGATGTCTGTGCAGGAAAGGTTACAAGGTTCTCCTCTTGAAAAATAATTGTTACTACAAGTTGATGTAGATAATTAGACCTATTAGTTTGGGATAATTTTTGTTTTTATTTTCTTTTGGTTTGGCAAAGCCATTTTCTATTCTCATGTGTTATTTTTGGATGTAACTAGAATGAATATTATATCACTCACTTTCAATAATGTAAATATGATGTTATGTATTATTTCCAAGAAATGGAGGAAAGTATATTTTGTTTCATTTACTAATCTTGTCATAAATAACAAATGACTTAATGTGAGGAGTGTTTTGCCCTTATGCAGATAACTTTGGACCTTTATGCAAACTGCTCGTATACAGGATTTAAATGGCTTGCGATAAATGAGATAATTATTCCTATTAATCTATGTGTGACTAGTTATTTACAATCAGTGATTATTCAGTTTCCATTTATACTAATTGTAAAATGTTAAGTCATTCTTCACATTAAGCCATTCATTATTTATGGCAAGACTTGTAAGCGAAACAAAATATGTTTCCCTCCATTTCTTGAAAATGGTACATAACATCTTATTTACATTATTGAAAGTGAGTGACATAACATTCCTTTTAATTATATCCAAAAGATACACATGAGAATAGAAATAAGTTTAGCCAAATCAAAAGAAAATAAAAACAAAAAAGTGTATCCCAAACTAATAGGTCTAATTATCTACATCAACCGGTAATAATAATTATTTTTTAAGAGGAGAAACTCATAATCTTTTTCCACGGATACTTAAAAATAATGTTTAAGCATTTTTCAATCCACTCAACATTAATTGTTTCTTCAGAATCTTCTTCTCTCAAATCATTCTGCAATATCACACAAATTCAACACAAAACAGTAAATAAATTGTAATAGGAACTATATATCAGGAAAAAAAAACAATAACAATTGATGCCTTTAATTTCCACATACCCTCAATCAATTAGAAATCATCTCAATATCATTTTCAAAACAATTATTACAAAAATTAATAAATTTACCACAGGCACAACAGTACGTGAATAGATGAGAGTTTGATCAGTACATTAGTATATGCTAATTAAATTGAGGAAATTCCGAAATTATATTCACGTCTTCTTAGATTTCACAAGATTATAAATAAATGCACTTTCTCTACTGTTGCACTAACTCTCCTTAATTTTTTTTTAAAAAACACGATACTGACACCTTAAATATTAGATATTAACCCTTAATTATCAAAATATTCACCTGGTTTCATATAAGGTAAGTTACATGCAGAGACGTTAAAAAATAAAAAGAAAATACGAACTTGAATAGTTATAGCAGTGTAATTTACTTAATTCATTATTGGGAGTTACTATGAATAGCAGAAGAGCTTCTTGGCATCGGAGGAGGAGGAGGACAGCGAGCGACGCTTCATGTGGGTGGTGGCAGCGACGGAGCAGGGCAGGTGGGGACAAGAGCGATTTGAGATGTTTAAAGGGATTTGAGAGGTTTAAAGGGAATAAGCGTGGAATGCTAAGACCCGTTGCATCAGCTAAGAGATAGAAACGTAAGATAGGGGGAACTATCACGCAAGTCCATAGACGCTATCCATGTCAGTCAGGCATATTCAGAAGGGTATGAACCACAATTAACAAAGGCATAATCAGAGACCAAGAAATCCTCTTCACCTAGCGAAATATATTATATAAAATGATTCTTGTATATATTATATAAAATACAGTGACCTACTTGAATAAACTACACATCAAACGTAGTAACTTAGGAGATGCCATAGGGAAGAGAAAGCATAAGGATTAGCTACTTCAGTTAAAAATAAGAAAGCTTGCTACATAATCAATAAACATCAAATGCAAAATAAAAACTTCATAACGGTAATACACATGAAAGCCCCACTGAACTATTATACAAAGAATGAGGTACAAAAACATGTATGGTCAATAAAAGAAAAAGAAAAATACCCTGCTCGTACAATTTCTCCCTGGCAAGGGTTGCGTTACGCCCGTTACCTCAGTATTGTAGGAATCCAGTACTCTTTGCATACACGTAATAATACGTTTAATTACATAATGAGTGGAATTACACAATCAAACAAAGGAATAATACATACAACGGCTACAGAAGAAGCAAAGGCCAAAGTTGTAGCACTAGCACCCAACCAATGATTCGATCGCATCAAATTATTCTACTCAGATGATGACCAGCTTGCTCTATTGCTTTCAACATAAAACAACTAGGCCAAAACACATCCAAATATAAAAACCACTCTAAATGATATGATGCAAGGAATCCCCCATGACTCACTCCAGAAAGTGCTTTCTCCAGGCTAAGCCATACCTTATGTAGACAATTGGAACCTGTCACTAGGCTTTTTTCTTCTCCATCCCTGATATTTCCATATGAACATTTTAGCATCAGAAAGATATTAACATGTATGAAAAATATGGGGCAAAAACTTTGCAGAGGTAAACTTACAAAGGCAGCGTAATACACAAAAGTCAATCCAGCCAAAACAACAAATGCAATTTGGAAGACATTGTACCTGTAATATGATAACCAACGAGTCAAACAATTGTGTTACTACCAATTATAGCTAGGCAAAGTTTACAGGCCCTCGTCTTAATTCATTGAGGATATCACTAAAAACAACCTTGATATAGGCATCATATAGGCAGGTTATGCTACTTACACCCCCCCCCCAACAAAAAAAAATATAAATAAAAGGAAAACAAAGAAGATCTACATTCCTTTGGACCTCGAACATGTTGCATCAATTTACTGCACATATTATCCAACAGCCTACTTAATAAATAATTTAGTTTGTCAATTTTTAGTGTATGAAGCACAATTCCTCAAGAAATTCAACTGAAAATATGGGATTTGTTTGAATTCAAAATTGGAACAATAAGTAGGCAAACCCATTGTGTGCTCTAGCTTTACAAGTTGCCAAAAAGAAGGGATCTTTTTTGCTCCACAGGAACATGGGAGGAGAAACAGAAGAAATCCAGATTAACTCACTTGTACAAATATTTAATTCCTCGAAGAGACTCCAAAGTGTGGCCAAATATTTCCTGGGCTGCAGTTGCTTGAGCATAGTAGGCAAAGGCTGTGGAGCAAAACTGGATCACACTGAAAAATTAAAATAATATAACTTTCAGCGAGGTTATACAGCATGCCATTATCATGATAAAAATAACAAGTCCCTTACACTTCTTTATATAGAACACTACTAGTTATACTGCAGAACACTTGAAATACTACACAAACAATGACTTAATTTCCCTTTCCACTTCCAAATTTAATAATTTCAAAAGGGAAAATCAAAGCCTAACATAAGAGTATGCCCATTTTAAATTTCCATTCTTGTGAGACTCTTCATATAATATGTAACCAAAGAACAAAAAGCAACATTATAAACTTTATGACACTCAGGTAGGAACTAGAAACTTTAACATCAATATACATAACATCTCATTTTGAATCTAAAGTACAGACTAAACTGACCTAATGGAACAAAGAAGAATAAGGCCCACGTTAAAGAGAAAAGAGTTCATGAGAGTTGCTCCCCACCTGCAAGATCACATTGTGAGATACTATTATCCAACGGAGAGTAAAATGATAAATTTGTCAGAACAATATAATTAGAGAGTAAAATGATAAATTTGTCAGCACAATATAATTACTTCATGGGATGTATAGTAATGAAAACTAGTCTCAGTCCAAGCATCATGGCACCAGCAATAACCGCAAGGAGAAGGTAGAAGCAGAAAAACGCAAATGCAGCAGTGCCAAGAAGACCTGATGAAAGAACAAATTAAATATATCATCTAGATTAACTGAATGAATGAACATTATATATAATAATATATCTATTATCTATTATTATACATAACCGAAGGAAAGAAAAATAGCCTGAGTTTTCCAACATACCCCAGACATCATCTAGCTTGATGAAAACTTCATTCAGGAAAGAAGAAAGTGGAGGATCAATTAATAGGTAGATAATAATATGAGCAACCCAAGCCACTGAAACAATCAACCTGTTACATTTTACAAAATTTAGGTAGATAAATATAACACCAGTTAAAAATAAGTAATTTTAGTAAAACTCTGTACAAAAGTTCAAAGCATCATCATTCATCATGCATCATACATTATAGCTTACCCTAAAACTCCCAAAACAAGTTTTGCCAGATAACCAAGAACTGTTAGTGCCCATGTTGTTTCAGCCTGTATTCAATCAAGCTTAGTCAGAGAGAAAAACAATACACATTGATTATGCCTGGAAATTTAAAAGTTGGAAATTTGATTAGACCTTTTCCCCTTGTGGATAAATCTCTTCAAGAAGCTTTACGTCTTCTTCCAATTGAAACAACTCCTACAAAATTATGCGAGATGAAAATAAATAACTAGAATCACATAAACAATGAATGCTTCAGCAACTGTATACTTTCTACCACAAACTATAACAGCATGCATCAAACTATTACCTATGAAGCCTAGATACTTAGTACGACACGGATATGGATATGGAGATACAAAGTTTTTTTTTTTTAAATTAAGGATATGATACGTTATAGATTTGTTAAAAAAAGTAGAAAAAATTATATAAATATAAAATATTGGTAAAAAAAAAAAAGAGAGAAATGTATCTTTGTAGAATATGTATATTAACTTTTAAAAGGTTTTTTCTGTTTAAAAATTTTAAAACTAAAAATAAAAATTTAAAATATTAATAAAACAAACATTTGGGTAAGAAAAACGTATCTAAGCCGTATCACATGTTATAAAGCCGTATCTAGCCATTGTGAGTCGTATCAGAGCCATATCCATTTTTTTTTTTTAAGTAAAAAAAAAAAATAATTGGATACTCCTTGGATATGTATCCTAGCCGTATCGGTGTCTGATACAAATACGACACCAATACTTTTCCATTTTTGGAGTATCCGGACTTCATAGCTTATTACTACCTCCTTTCCTATTTATATGACTCAACTTAGAACAATTGTTTGTTCCTTTCTATAAGACCCAATTCATAATGATTAATGTATTTATTATTTTTAGACTAAAATACCCCTAATTAAAACGTGCTCTTAATTTGATTAAATACATTAATTATAGACTTTTTAAAATGTATGCATTCTAATTGGTTTGGAGAGTAAACAGTATTAATTATAAGAAATAAATAATATAAGACATCATTCTAATTGGTAAAGAAAGAGGTGAGTATTAGTTAAGAGAGAAAAGTAGTACAAGGGTATTTTTAGGAAAATATATATATAGAGAGAGTTAATCACCTATACACTGCTAATGTAAAGTTTTTTTACACTGGCAACCAATTATATCTTTTAATTATGCCATGTCACTGTAAACACATTTACTTTTAATAGTGACATGGCATAATTAAAAGATATAATTGGTTGTCAGTGTAAAAAAACTTTACACTGACATTGTATAAGTAATTAACTCATATATATATATATATATATATATATATATATAAGTAGGACAAATTTAGTATTATCAACTATATTAATTACTTTTTTTAATTTTGGTGAATTTGGTATTTGGATCTTATGTATAGGAAAGGAGATAGTATAAGGAAAGCCAAAGCTGACACCAGTTTCCCCAAAAATACTTGAAAGAATGCAGCAAAGACAACTGATAAATAATCAATATTTGTTTACCTTCTCGACTTCCTTCACATTTTTACGAAACTTTCTACCCTTTGAACCACTTTTTTCTTCCTGACGGAGTGCCTCGGCTGCTTTCTTTAGTTCTCTTGCTTTTTTACCCAGTTCAGTGGCTTCCTACAGTAATCAACCAACCACATCATAAATATAGAATGGCATATCATGTAACCAAATACACACATAAACAACAATTTAATATATCCCATTCAGTAACAATAGATATCACCTTGATATACTGTGAGCGAGTGATAACAGCCTTTGGACGCCGAATAAATGAAAATATAAGTCCTAATGGAAGACACGCAATACCAACACCGCCAAATATCTGGATTGAATAGTGAGAAAACAATGGTTAAATGTCATGAATAGAAAAACTCAGTACTTAATGTGATTTAGTATTGAAGGCTTATATAAACACATCCATTAAGAGACTACCTTTTGTGTTCAGTATTTTTATTTTATCGTTAGGGTGATAACAAAATCTCAATTGCTAAAGAGTAAAGAGAATAGAATAATATTTACCTCTATTCCAATGTATAAGACCCTTAGAGGAATTTGTTTTGCCCATTTTTATAAGACTCTTTTCAAATTGGCGCTAGTTTTAATAATTATATTTTGAGCAAAATACCCTTTATTTACTTTCCAGTTTTTGTAGTCAATAAACAATAAATGCTATAAATTAATAAGATTAATCCGTTCTCTCTCCTGTGAGAATTGAAGATGACTAGCACAAATTTATTAATTAGGTAAAAAGTAATTAGGTGCAAAGAGTGAGATGATAAATTTCAATAATCTTAAGGGTCATTTTGGAAGAACAATACAAATTGTTAACCAATTTAATGTTACTATTTACATTACCAACTTTCTTAATTCATGTGAATTCATTTAATGTTACTATTTACATCACCCCCTTTGGTGTCCACATTATTTTGGACAATTTTGTTCCTAGATTCCCTCTCAACTTACTCTGTATTTCTCTACTATGTTTTTCAAAAATTATCCTTATAACTACAATTACCCAAAAACTGATTGCACCCTCTTATTATTACCCACTCACTTGATACAAAATGGTACAGAGTGTCTTTAGCATGCTAGTATATAGGAATGGAGGTAGCACAATATTCCAATTCATTCAGTCTCACACTTTATAGGAAAAGGTATAATGTTAGCCAAACCAACCTTAAAAACCTAGGCCACATGAAGCAGGAATTTTAAAACAGGATAATTAAATCTTTTGAAGAATAAGCTTACAGCAAAAAGCACAGATCCAACAATGGTAGCAAGTGCAACTACATATTCTGGAAAGGTAGTACGCATGGTCCATGTTTTCTCTGATGAAGGACTAGCGGAGTATGCTGAGCACTGGTTTGATGACAATAAAGCAGAATGAGCAGCAGCAAAAATATTACCTTTGAAAACAACAAAACTAGCAACAACAAAAAAAGAACCAGTACAGAAGAAGACCTGATGGACACCACTTCCAATACATGGTTCACCACTATTGTATGTCCATGTGCTAGGAAATGAAGTTGTGGATGAAGAGAGATGCCTAACAGTGAAGTCCACCTTACCAACAAGCCCTAATATATCAATCATGGAATAGAAAGCATAAACAAACAGTTTAAAGCTTTATATTAAACCACATCAGATTTAAAATATTACTCATGATTGTAGGTGGATTGTATTGTATCTTTATTGAATTAGAAATGACAGACAGAGATGACTTCCCTTCTTGAAACAATGATTAGATTCTGCTAATTGTGAATTTAAGGATGATCATGAATTATGCAGTATTTTTTACACCTATAAATATAATTTTAAATTTAAATACTTAAATTGTTTATTTTATGTAGAAAGGCTTTAAGTATATGTTCAGTTTCCAAGTTCACCTACATCAAAAAGTGAACATTGTAAAGAAAGAAATTTTCAATAACATCTTGTCCTCTCTTCTCACCGAGTCTGACTCTTTCCTGCCTACCCAATACCCATCCTGTATTATGAACCACATTGCCTTACACAATTTCACTCGCATAAACTTTGAAACAGCTCCTGCTTGCAATACATTATCAATCTACTATTCCTACAAATACTAACCCCCTAATCTCAGTCCTCCTTGCTCAAAATCCTACCCCTTGTTGCTATCAATAATCCACTACAAACCCCTCCTTTTTTAACCCATCATCACTTAGGCATTACTTATTACTTATAAAGGACAAAACATTGCCAAGCTGCTTCCCTAGTCCACTTAAAAAACCCTGCAAATAAATAATGCAGAATAATTTTCGCTCTCTCTCCATTTCTATTCACCATCCATATCATTAACCAAACAAAAAACCACATCTTTTCACGTTAAGTGGATGTTCTACAAAAAAAGGCCTTCAAACAAATCCAATCCATTATCCAATCATGCAATACAGACAACACGGCAAGTTCCCGAATACCCATAATCCAGTCAGTCCAACACACCTCCCTGCCGACATCAAGGAAGAACCACAGCACCAAACACAATTTCATTTACAAAACCTCTAAAACCTCCATATTACCATTGCTACAAAGAGCAACCTAAACCCCCAGCACATGTGATAAACCCCACTCTTTCTCTAGTTCTAATTATCGCCCCCACATACCCTAATCACCTGAAACCTACCTTTCTTTTTAATTTTAAGAAACCGCACAACCAAAACACCCATTCCCATAATCCCTATTCCTCGACAACACTCTCATCTCAATCCAACCTCACAAGCGCACACAGAGCAAGTAAAAAGCCACATAACATAACATAACATAACACGAACTCCAAACTAAATAAACAAGAGCATTGCATTATTCACGAATTCATCCATACCATATAAAATGCCCAAAACGAGGGCGCACACTATCGCCGTGGTCACCATCCACAACAACGCACTCTTAACCCTCTTCCCCACAGTCCTGCACAAAAAAAAGCACACACACAACATTTCATTGAAACGAGGTTGCGAACATGAAACCAACGAAACAAGCAAAGGAAGAACGACGTACTTGTCCAGATCACCCTCGTAGTAGAACATGGCGAAGGGGATGACAAAGAAGACGAGAACCGCGTCGAGGATATAAACGGCGAGCCAGAGGTCCTTCATGGGGAGCGTGAAGTTGCACGCGCCGTTGTAGATCGCGTGGCGGCACGCTTGGCGATTCGCGACGTCAGCGGGGAGCATGAGGATGGAGATTGCGGCGACGGAGAGGCCGAAAACGACGACGAATTTGGGGAAGTAGGCCTGGTTGGCGTCGTCGGGGTGCTGGTAGTTGACGAGGAGGTAAACATTGACGAGGAAGACGATGACGCAGACCACCACCGCCACGATGACGAGGGCGAGGTTGAAATCGCCCATGTTCGCTCCGATGAGATCAGAGGAATGCGAATTTGGTAGGGTTAGGGTTTGTGGGGATCTGGTTTAGAGCGAGAAGGGGGTTTGGGTCCGGTGGTGGTTACGGTGGTGGTTTTGATGTGAGGGGTGGAGTTACTGTTATGCCCTCGTGACCGTTGGAGAGGAGCGAGGGGTGTAGGGGAAATGGTTTTGGGTATAGGAGTAATTTTCGATTGGGGCTTCGCTGGTGCGAGGGTGATTCAAACCAGGCTGTCTTCTGAATCATCAAAGAAAGGGTTGGTGGTGGTGGAGTTCGGTAACGGGCTCGTTCGGCCCAGTTTCTTCTAATTGGGCTGCTTTATTTGGGCCGCTTTAACGGGTGTTCAGAAAAATGGTCCATATCATCTCCCGCTTACTTCAGAAATTAGTTTTTTTTTAAAAAAAAAATTTTTTTAAACTAATTTTTGGAAAGAAAAAAAAAATTAAGGTGAAAAAAGTGATACATTTAATATTTTTCTTAATTTTTGTTTTTAGAAAATCTTAAACTGTAGTTATGTGCGATGGAAGGAGTGATAAATAATTTTACGTAACCTGTAGAGGATTTTATTTTACATTTATGCCAGTGGGAATATTAGTCAAATATTTAAAATATAACCATTTAAATATCAAGTTATAGAGACTGGTCCACTGGCCAAGGAAACATATATTTATTCGCATTTTTCCCCCGTAGTTTTCTGCATTTAGTCCTTAACTCTGAGAAAATAATTCATTTTAATTATTTTTCATCACGTTTTTCATTAACATTAAGAAGTATAATAAATATTTTTTTTTATAAAGTTAGGAATTAAATAAAATTTTAAAAAAATCAAGGATTAAAATGAGAAATAATAACAAAGCGAAAAACATAATTTCACGCTATAATATTTGAGTCACGTGTCACTTAATCTTAGTTTAAGAAAAAATAGTTTCAATTCCTAAGATTTTCAATGACTGCAGTATAACCCCCTCTATTAATTTTTCCATTAAAACTTAATAGAATTGAGAAAGAATTGCAAGTTATCATGTCAAGTGATTAACATGCGACTAATTTGTTTTTAAAATTATCATGAGAAAGAATTGCAAGTTATCGATCTAAAATTTGAGTAATGTATAACTTAATTTCTAGCCGCTAAAATATATTTATCTTCGTCATTTTATCTAGACATAATAATTAAATTCGCACTCATAGATATCTCGTTTGACTTCAACATGATTTTGACAACAAAAAAAAAAAATCCGTTTTAATCATATATGAGTTTGAGTATAAGTTTTGTTCAACTTGAAAAATCAAGTTTGGGTGTGAATTCAGTCAGGAATATAACTCCGTGTATTTGCTCCTATACCCGTCCCGTTGTATTTTTTACATTTTTTTACGGCAGAGAAAAAAAAATAGATATGAATATATATATGTATATATATATATATATATATA